TAAATCAAAATAAAAGAAGATGATGCCATGTCTGGCCAGGGGCAGATGTTGCCAGTTGCCAAAGCCCCAGCTTTCATCATACAGTTTACATGGTGTTTGCTCTCCTGGATGGAGGCAGGCATAACTCTTAAGTAAGTGGGTGTCATTTGGAAATGATTTGATGAATAGGAATCTCATTTGTGATATATTAGCAAAAATGTTTGGAGCCCACATTGAGGGTCAAATCTGCCTTTCCCACATGCTGCCCTTCATAGCTGACACATTACACATGTCTCTGTAGCATAATATACGGCTTCCTGAACTTGCAAATGTGGCCTCATGTGCTCTGTTGAAATAGCATCTGTTTAAACAGTCTCCTGGAAGAGTGAGCCATATTCAATAGTTTCGTGGCTGTAAACGTTTCTCTAGAGATGCTTAAAATGTGATTTCTAAGGAGCATAGTCAAAAATTTGTGCTGAGGTGTTATCTGTCCTGTTTTGGGGGTTTATAATACGTACATGACCAGCTGTGTATATCCTGATTCTCAGGGATAATTTGCAAGTACATAGGATTTCCCCCATTTTACGGATGAGGAGAGACTCCCATGGCCTGATCAAAGCTCAGAGTTACCTTGAATGGGAAGTGATAGAGCTAGAATTTCAACTCAAAAACTTAATTCTGAAATCTGTCCCTTTTTTTCTATGCTGAAAATACTTAACTTGGGTTGGCTAAGGGTAGATGCTTAAGCTGGAGAACCCACTGAACTATATGCAAATTTTGTGTGTATGTGCATGATTCTGAGGAAATTCCATAACTTTATCAAGTTCTCTTGACAGGTTTATGAGGCTACCAAAAGACTAAGGATAAAGTCTTGGTATGAGGTTGCCTTCATAATAATAGACATGAGGAAGCAGTGGATTATGACCATCAAAAGCACTCGACCTAGTTTTGGCTGGACAGGAACTGAACCAGCTTTTACTGCTTGGGGTGTGGGTGTAACTCAGCATAGCGTATTTGTCCAATATGAAGGACCTGGGTTCTAACTCCAGTACTGGGGGAAAAGAGCTTCTTTCTACTGTGTGTGTGTGTGTGTGTGTGTGTGTGTGTGTGTGTCTTGTTTCTTTCAACAATATTGTTAATATCTATCCATATTGTTGCACTTGGTTGTAATTTGTTCATTTTCGTTGTTGGTATCCCATCATTTGACTACCTTATAATCTGTTCATGCTTCTTCTGTTCTTGGATGTTTGTGTCATTTGCAATTTTTGCCTCTAATGTGCTGTTAACATTCTTATACATGTCTTACACATGGGTTGCCCATACAACTCCTAGGATATTATTTATCAGACATTTGTGGAAGCCATACCTAGTTTTTTAAGGAAAGGGTGGAGGATTTTTCTTTTCTTCCATCACCTTCCTAAGAAGGCTTTGTGGAAATGAAACCCTTTCAAGCCAGTTTTCTGATATCCTCAGCATAAATTCCAGTTGTCCAGTTATTCCATTTGGCAATAAGAATCAGTGAGGTCACTTCCTGAACCTGATTCCAGGCTCTGTCCCAGGTCATCGAGTGAGAACCTCCAGGACAGGGCAAGAGTCAACAAAATTAACCAGCACCCAGGAGGGTCTCATGGTGGGGAAACATTAGTTTCACCCTGATTGGATGTATGAGTGAAGCTTGGCTACTTTGTCATGAAGAAATTTGAAAAAAGTATACGTATAATTAAAATCTTGGAAAGTTGGCCTCTGTGGGAAAGTTAAAGGAGCTAGATTTATTTAGCTTATAAAGTTTTTAAAAATCTGAAATTTGATTTAATAATTATTTCCAAAAGCATGAACAAGATTTGTCAGTGATAGTACTTACTAATTCAAAAGAGATTTAGGTTGATCAAAAGGGAAAAACCTCCTGGTAAAATCTGTAGCAAATGAATTTTCTAGACACAGTGGGGAGGAGAGGATAAAGATTGTTGTCAGTACCTTCAGGGAGCTGAAGACAGGAGACAAAATGAGCACAGAAAGCTCCTGAACAAAAGCCAGGATGTAATATTTCATCAAGTCTAGACTGTGGCCTTCAGCGGAGCTGAGTTAGGTGGGCCCTAGGGGATACTATGGAATAGAGAAGCAGAGACAAGTCATCAGGAAAGGCCTGAAAGCCTTGAGCAGGAGTTAGAAATTAGCCTGAGTGTAGGTGGTGGGATATCAGCATTCTAGAGGTGACTTCAGATGTTTTTTATTGTGATTCTCTAGTAAGATATGTGCTTATATCAAGGCCAGGTATCATAACACATTTAACTTTAAGAAGTGTATTGTGTCTGACATTTTATATTTTTTATTTTTTCTCTTTTATTTTTAGTATGTGTTAGAGTAATGCATTGATAGGTTGAAAAGGTAACCACTGTAGATGGAATCTGTCCTTTGAGGGAAGAACTAATTACAGGAGGGGATTTTTATGGGAACTGGTGAGGGGTGATGGTGGTCTTTAGATGCTTTCCTTGATTCTGGGATATGATGAAGGTATTTGGAATGTTATGATAAAATTGCAAATTTCATCTGTATCCACCCAACCCTACCTTTGGCCAGTAGATTAACCAAGATGGTTACTTGAAAGTTATTTCAATGCTTGATTTCAATTTAGTACCTCTTGGCAGAGGGTTGGGTGTGGGAAAAGGAATTTGCTTCTGGATTTTCAAGACCAGTGTGGCCTTTAGAGCTCTAAAGGAGGGAAACCTTTCCTGCTATGACCTATAGAGATTGAACTCCCTAAAGATCCACATGGAACTGATTTTAGAGAACCCCTGCAATCAGATTTTTCTCTCTACTTGAGTAAGTGCCTTAGCAGCACTAAAGAGGGAAATCCTTTCATGTGGTCTCTGTTGCTTAAAGGCTTTCCGTCAGTCCTGTCTGCTAAGATTTAATATCCTTTTGATCTTCTCAGTCCTCAATCCAATTTTAATTTGGTCAGGTTAGATTAGAAAAGGATTTTAAAAGACAATACTTTTCCCTTTTAGGATAATATAAGTAGCAATAAAAAATGTCTCCAAAGGTTGCTGAATGTGCCCTCGGAGCAGGATCACTCCTGACCGAGAATCAGTGGCTTTGTAGGTACAATATTAGACAGTGGTTTAGATCTAGAGTGTCCCCTAGAGGGCTCCTAGGACATTGTGATGCTCAGAGGTAGGGAGGGGATTGGATCATGGGACCACTGTAGTTGACTTGGGAGGTGGAGCCTGGATAGAGTTGAGCCACTGGGAGCATGACCCAGAAGGGTGTATCTCCCTGGTTCTTGACTTCACTCTCTACTTCCTGGCCACTGTGACATGAGCAGCTATCCCCCCTGGTAGCCCCTTCTCTCATGCCTTATCTGTGTGTAAGTGTTCCCACCATGGACTGAAACTGTAAGGAATCATATTGGGCATGCAATCTAAAACCTTGGGAAACTGCAGCACAGAGAGGTAATGGGTGACTAAAAGTCATACGGTATCAGTCTAGAGTTCTGAACTTCAAGTTCATGAAGCCCAGAGGACAAGCTACTGATTTTCCCTCCAACCTACTCCCTCTTACTGTTGTGTTCTCGCACTCAGTAATGGCCGTGGAGGAGGAGAGAGTACTGAGTGCTGAAAATGTCCCTGTCCTGAGACTCACAGACTCCCATTCTGGGAACTTCTACTTTACCCTTCCATGACCCGAGGCTTTCTCTAACGCCCTTTATGTAGGCTAGGGCTGGAAGATGAGTAGGGTCCTCCTTTACTCTGTGAGAAGATGGAATTGCAGTGGGTCAACGAGTTCCATTAGTACAGAACTTGAGGACACACTTCTGGGGCTGGGGGAGACTGTAATCTTGTGAAATCCCTACTTTGTAGTTTTTCAATCTTGAATATCCCTCTGTCTGCTTCCTCATTGTCAACTATAGCGCTCCGGTGATCCATTTCATGTGAAATGCCTGGAAGGAAATAGGGAGCAATGGAGACCTCTGGGTAGAAGGCTTTGGAATGAGAAGAGATGTCTCTCACAGGGCAGTGGTGTCCAGAGGGGGCAGGGCCAGAACAAAGGCATAGGTCAGGGCCTGCTGCAGAGAAAGACAGAAGCACAGCCTGGGCTTGTGGAGTCCTGGAGTGGCTTTGATGTACCCAGTCTTTTCTTCCTCCTCTCTCCCGTCATTAGTCCTATAAGCTTTATGCACCTCCCAGGCCCTTAATCCCTGATTTGATTTTGTCATCTGCTCCACAACCTTCAGTGGTTCACTGTTGCCTTTCCACATTTGAAACTTCTTAGTCTTGTGCTCAAGTCTCCTTTCCTCTTACATAGAGATCATCTGTTTCTCTTCTGAGAGTGAAAGCTGGGTTTTGTGTATATAAAAGCTTTACTGTTACTATGGTTTGCAGAATTACTCTGTGGGGGTTGGGAGTTGATGGTGGTTAAGGTTTTGTTCAAAGCTGTTTGATGTTTAATAGTTTTCTTAGGAAGAACTTTTGTCTCTGGCAATACTTTGTTGAGTGCATACCTGGACTACTACTTAAAATCTGCATACAGCTCAAAAATCAGGGCCAAATAAGCAAGCCAGAAAAAATGCTGTAAAAGCAGATGAAGAATTATGTATTTAAACTCCTGGGTAATCTTGCACTTTTGGTCAGTTTGATTCTGTAACAAAGGCACTTGAGTGAGTTGTGCACCAGGTCAAAGCTCAGTGTTCCCAGGTGCCAGCTGTCAAGTTTAGCAAGAAACTAGCTAATATGTAAACTGGCTTCAAGGTCTCTCTAAGCTGCTTCATCTTCCAAAGCATAGTTAAAAGGAGTGATTTTTATAACTGATGTTTCATTTGAGTGACAACTGATATTTCAATGAACTGTTGATGTTTTCTTTTGGGAAACCAACCTTTTTGGGTTTCCCCATGGTGAAGGGGAAGGTACTTTAAAGTTGCCTATTTGTGGCGTGTTTGGATTTAAATTGGGAGGGCTGAGGTCCTGCCAGTCAGCATGGCCTGGCCAGTGTTGTTCACCCATCTGCCTCTTCCCTCTGCCCCGCAGACCAATGAGTGGAACAAGAACGATGACCGCCTGCTGCAGGCCGTGGAGAATGGCGATGTGGAAAAGGTGGCTTCGCTGCTGGGCAAGAAGGGGGCCAGCGCCACCAAGCACGACAGCGAGGGCAAGACCGCGTAAGCTGCAAGCTCTGGTTTCTCTGTCTTCTCCTTCTGGGTTCTTAGAGTGTTTTCTGGAATCCTTAACACCCACTGGGGCATTTTTAGAGTGCTTTATATGGGGTCTTTGTGAAATTACTGGTGCTTTTCCCACTTCTGTGTTCAAAAGTGCCTAAGGATGTTTTAATTTGGTTCCTGTCCTTTCCAGTTCCAAATTCTACATTGAGCTTTTAGCTGAGTGGCTCTGTTTGTTCTCAAATACAACCCAAGATTTCACCAGAGAACAACAAGCACCAAGATTTTAGCCAATTTGATAGTTAGGAAATGAATGCTATCCAAGATAAGAAACAGTATAAGGGCCAGGGATTTAGTTTAGTGGCACTGTACCTGCCTCACAAGCACAAGGTCCTGAGTTCAATCCCTGGTACAAAAAAAAAAAAAGAAAGAAATAGCATAAAAGAGAAAAACAATTTTTCCACTACTTTCAAGCCTTACTACTACAATGTATTTAACCACCTTCTTTAACATAGATAGGTAATTACATGAGGACTGTAATATGATTTTGCTTCATGGTTTGTCATACATAATACTCTTACCATAACTAAAACTATATGTGTGTGTGTGTGTGTGTGTGTGTGTATTTAGTTATCATTGTCCATCCTTACCCTAGAAGTATATAGATCAGGGTTCCCCAACCTGTGGCCCTTGGATTGGTACAGACCAATGGCCTTTTAGGAACTTGCTGCACAGCAGGAGGTGAGCAGTGGGTGTGCAAATGAAACTTCATCTGTATTTACAGCAGTTCCCTATCTCTCCCATTACCGCCTGAGTTCTGCCTCCTTTCAGATCACAGCATTAAATTCTCATAGGACTATGAAACCTACTAGATAGAGCCTCCCCTGTGTGTGTGCGGGATCTAGGTTCTAGGCTCCTTTGAATCATCCTGAAACTGTAACTCCCCTTCTAGTCTGTGGAAAAATTGTTTTCCACAAAACTGGTCCATGGTGTTAAAAATGTTGGAGATGTCCGTTGTAGAGAAGATCAGTTACTTTGGAGCCAGATAGACTGCTCAAGTAGACTTTATCACTTATGAGTTGTATAACCTTAAACCTCACTGTCTTACTGGAAGACAGTGTTATTTCACTGCTAGGGTAGTTGTGTGTATCAAACAAGATACTGCTATAGGTTGGCTGCCCCCAGCAACAGGGTGTGAGGCAAGGATTTGAGTACCAATAGTTTCTGTTGCCAGAGATCCTAGAGGGCAGGAGGGGGAAGACAGAAGCCTATACTTAGGGTTTGTATTGACTGCTTTTCCTACAATGGGCAACTGGGGTGACTTATTTTTTTTTAATATTTTTATTGGTACATTTTAAATATACAATACAGTTGCATTCATCATTGGGATCTCATATCTTGACATGACATATCTTGGTAGGGGTGACTTATTGATGAGGAATTCAGGCAATCTGGTTAGACTTAGAGCAGGAGCTGATGAACTGTGATCAGCTGTGTGTTGTTTAAGCATTGTCCAGTGGTTACTCCCGCACTACAAAGACAGAATTGAGTGGTTACAGTAGAGACTACATGGCTCACAAAACTCAAAACATGGGGCTGGGAATGTAGCTCAGTGGTGCCACACAACCTGGCAAGCACAAGGTTCTGAGTTCAATCCCTGGTGCTGCAAAAAAAAAAGTCCAAAATATTTGCTACCTGGCCCTTTACACTAAAATTTTGCTTTGCTTAAGTTTAGAGCATGCTTCAGAGTCATCCTAACCACGCAGTAAGGAAAGCGTGGCACTGGGACTCGTGCTGCTCTTGGGGGCCTCAGTGGACCCACAAAAGGTCCAAGAGGATTTGTGGTACACAGAATTTTAGTTACTATATTGAAAGAGCTGGCACAGTTCCCGGCTCATGGGAGGAAGTGGATGAAGCCAGTTCCCTTATCTTCTCTTCCTGGGTTAGTGGTTCTCGATCCTGGGGGCATGTGCATTAGAATTACACAGGGTCCTTAAGAAACACTGATGCTGTGATGATGTCAGAACTCTTCATGATACTTGGAGTCGCTTGTTCTAGGGAAAGGCCCAGTAATCTGTTTTCTTTGATCCAGAGATTTTTGGTGGTAGACACTTCACTTGTAGTCTACTTTGTGTACCACTATATAGCCTTCTTGCTACCCATTTCCACACCAGTGTAGTTTTGCAGGAGTCTGTACAAGACACTCCAGGGAAAGAAAATATAGTAAGTGTTTACAATAGTTTAAAAATTTAGATGAGCAGTTTAGCCACACTTGTGACCACCTTAACCAAATTTGTACCTTTTTATTCATATATTTTTTTCCTTCCCTCTACCCTCATTTTATTTTTCCAGCATCAGCTTCACTTACTTATAAGACTTTATAAAGTTAATTATCTTATTTATAGATTAATAACCAGATTAATAGCCAAAGAATATATAAAACATGTAAAACAATTATACTGAGTCAAGTACACTTTTAGATAAATTGTCCATGCTGGATTATATTTTCCCCTCTTTCCTTTTCCCTGTTAGCTATCTTTTATAAGTTATCTTTAATAAGTTTTTCATGTAAGAGAAACCATATGGTATTTAAGCTTGTATGTCTGAGCATTTATTATGTGTAGAATAGATAGATTAGTGTTTTCTGTTCTCTGTGGTAAAATTCACATAACATAAAATTTAACACTTTAATTATTTTTAAAGTTCTTTATTCAATGACATTAATTACATTCACAGTATGGTACAAGCATTGTCACTATGTTGTTCCAGGTCTTTGTAATCATCCCAAAAAGGAAACCTTTAGGCAGGCCCCCTCAGCCTGGTGTTATGGTTTGTGTCTAGATGTCCCCCTCTAGCCTCATGTGGTCATAGGCTATTTTGGGGGTTGCTGAATCTACATTGTATGATGCTGGGATCAAGGGCATGTAATTACTAAACCACTACATGTGAGTGATTCGTTTAGTACTGCCCTCATTCCTGGTAGTTTGAATAAGGTAAAAAGAGAAGGAAGAAGTTGTTAATGTCTCTTGTTGCCTTTGCTACCTTGTATACACCATGCTATTTCTCCTCTGCAATGGCTGTTTTCCATCCCTGCCATGGCGCCAGCCAATTATGGCCTGGATCCTCTACAAACTGTAAGCCAAATAAACCCCTTCCCCTGTAACTTTGGATGTCGGGTATTTTGTCTCAGCAAGAAAAATGTAACTAACACACCTGGAATCCACCAGTCTGCTTTCTGTCTCTGTGGATTTGTCTCTTCTGGATATTTTGTGTGATTGGAATCATAAACTATTGGCTTTTTGTGTCTTGCTTCTTTAGCTTGGTGTTTTTTGGGTCCATCCACACTGCAGCATGTGCCAGTGTTCACTCTGTTCTATGGATGGTAAAAATGCATGTGGTCACATAGGAATCACCACTCCATTTTTCAGATATTACATCAAAGGTGCACGTAACACAGCTGTCCATGAGCTCACTGTAGAAACACTTCTCACACTTCTTTTTATGCCCTTGCAAGTCAGCTATTTTTTTCCTTCAGTGACACATATGTGGAAAGTTAGGAGACCTAATGAAAAAGGAAGAAAGGAGGAAATTGTTTTTCCAGTATAGGGTTTTTCCATAAGTAGTCATCTGTCAACACTTTATTTTTCTGCTTGAGATATTCCTTTTGAAGATGAAAGTTATTAACTAGTAACTGTAAGAATTGCATTTTTAAAGGTACCTCAGAATTTAATCTTTCCTGGCTTTATATTCGGATTCAAATACAGTGGTCTGAGTATTCAGAATGAGGTGGGGCTGTGAGGCTGGAAACCATTTTCCTTATCCCTTCAGGATCAAACAAAAAATGCAAAATTGAGAATTCTGTTTAACTAAGCCCCAAGTGGTATTGCTCCCTTGACCAAAGCCTTCTTGCCTTTGGAAATCTATGCTTTGGCTCTGAGATTTAGCTTAATTGGTACATCTGTGCCTGAGAGCACATTTGAGGATTTTTCCTAAGCTGCAGAGACTTTTCCATTGTTTCTGTACTTCCTAGGTGCCTTTGGTTGGTAGCACATAGGGTGGTCATGTCCCAGATGTACCTGTATAGCTATGTTAGAGCAGTGCAGGCCTTCAGCCCCTCTACTACTATTCTTGGCTAAACTAACTCTTGGAGGGTACAGAGGTGGCATTGGTTTGAAGTGTTCTCCGTTTTTCTCTAAAGAAAATTAGGTCCTTCACATTGCTTACCTTTATTTTCTGCCTTCTCCTTAAAAATAGTTGACCCTTCATTTTATATAGTTCCGTATGAAAATTAGGCTGGAGGCCTATTTTCTGTAGGGCTTCTGTGCTAACCCATTGTGCAGTTTATTAGCTGGGCATCCACAATTGCCTGTCAGTGCAGAGTCCTGATTTTGGCTTTCATGGTTGTTCCTTTGGCCCTACCCTGGCCTAAACATTTTCTCTCCTTTTTTCTTCCTTGTTCTAGAAGAGGCTGCCTGTTTCTGCTTCCTGTCAGGTAAAAATGGCCACATACTTTCCCAGGATCTATGTTCAGTTGTATTCTATAGTATTGAAAGAACCAGAATAGCAGAAAGCTCTTCAATTAAGAATGCCTTTGTTTCCCAGATTCAAATCTCAAAAGGAAAAACGGAGTGGCTACTTGAGGAAAGGGTGATATCGTAAAAAGTCATATAGATAGATAGATAGATAGATAGATCTATATATTGTATTTATGGAAGTGACTTTTCAGTATGGCTCTTATGGAGAAAACATTCCCTTCTGCTGGTGGGTAAATTATCTAGGAGTATATTAACTGGGAACTTGGGAGCCGGGAAGTATTCTGATAAATGACCCTCAGCTTTACTAGCAGTTTAGAAAGTTTCAGTTGCTACCTACAGAACCAGAAGACCCCAAGTGTCCCAAGAGTGAGGCAGCAAAGGCAGCCATCTCTCAGACATTCTCCAGAAGCCTAAGGTCAATAACCAGATGGTTAGTTTGGTAATTCCTTAGACTTTTCATTTTCTTCC